CTATGGGTCGGAACCGACTCAACGGCACTTAACAACAACAACAACAAGAATGTACAGGCTGTTCACCAGGAAGCCATCAAGGCAAGCAATCAAGTTCCTTCAGGACAACCCCCCCTACTAAGACTGAAACTCAAAGAGAACACATGAGCCGATATGTAAGCTTGCTGGTGACCACATTGGTCTACTAGTGAGTGGAAGAGGAGGAAAGGCAGTAATGACGAAATGGGCTGAGTTCAACCACAGCCCATTGACTCCCATTGACCTGGAGATGAGAGAGAGAAGAGGAAGGGCTGATTGGTCCAAAGTTTGGTGAGACCTCGGGACACTTGAGCCCATGGACAAGGACATAGCCATATAGGGCTAGACCTGGAAGTGAAACATCTAGCTGATATGAAGTGAGGGAAGATGCACAAAAACACCCAACCTTGCAGACAATACCCATTTGACCTAGCCTCAATGACTTGATAATCAGAACTTGACTAGAGGAAGATAAAAAAATAAATAAATAATTTTTGATAAAGGAAAGAAGCGTAAATTGCTACAATTTGATGAACTTGACCTATATCATTGAGGTAGTAGCTCAAAATACCAACAGAAAGGGAAGGAGTCTTCATATCAAGTATCAATGCTATCCCCTCTGTATACAGGGTAGATAAGGGATGAGCAATTTAGACACTGTCTACCTAAAATGAGGGGGCGATAAAGGCACGAAGTGACTGGCTTACAAGGTTTCAAGAGGGAGTTTAGTTTAAGAGTATGTCGGGGAAGATAGAGTCCCCACTGAATAGTTTTGTCTATATGGGTCTGGTTAAAAGAGATGGGGATAAGGTTCTTATGATTCAATAGTAAGTAATTGTTATGATGACTAATTGCAACTGTCACAATGTAAAAGTAGAAGTTTTGCATCAAAAACAGTGAAGTAGTTAATCTTACAGTCTAGAAACAAAGGACCATAGGGCCATCAAGGGAAAAAAGCACAAGCGGAATGCGGGACCTTATCCAGAGAAGCAGTGACCCTAGAGATGGAGGTAGAGATGGGGACATGGATAGAGGGGGCAGCTGAGGACTCTAGATTCATAAGAAGAGAGGGACTGAATGCTGGTGGCCAGGAGACAGACTTGCAGAATGTGCCCTTTGGTGGTGTTTATTA